TTGTAAGGACATTTAAATTGTATAATTAAGCTTGAATGAGTCAAAACAATCAATATGAAAGTGGATAAATGGAGTGAAAAGTGCACGGAATCACAAATTTTTAGGTATGTGACTTTATTTTTATTTATTTTCTATATTATCCACATTCATATTGGTGTTTTTTCGTTATTTCTTCTAACCGCTGTGTTCTTTGTTGTAGGAAGAAACCCCGCAAGGGTTTTTCGACGACCACGGACTCGGATAAATACAATCAACATAGACGGCGGATCTTCTTTATATCTATATACACGTCTATTTACAATAATTATAGGATATTAAACTGATTATTTTTATTTTTCTACTTTGCTTTTTGTTAAAACGGCTTCTAGGTAAGTGCGTCTTTTCCGTTGTTTTCAGACGTTTGTGCTCGATATCACAAGACTTGTGGCTTTGTACCGTGTTCAAATGGATCAGTTTGATTAACGGTACGAGCATTTTGTGCAATACCAAAAATCAAGCATGTATTAAAAGTAGTTCCGTAGTCTCTAATTAGTAGCCTAAATGACACTTGTTAGCTTGTTAAGTATTTAAACATTCCAGTACTTAAAGCGATCATTTGCACTGCAGTACGTTGATTACTAAAGTTTGTATTAAAGTAATTATTTTTTGAGGTGTGTGTTTCATTTTTACTAACAAGCATTTTACTAACTTAAGTAGTTTTCGTTAATACAATAATAAAATCGGAAGAAAATTCTGCCTCTTGATTAGAAATTTGTAGTGAACTTGTGAGTAAGTACATATTTGGCTAAGGTAAGTATGATTTTTACTATTAAGAAGTTAATTATAGTTAAGTCGTAGTTGCTAAATGACGGTATTAATATTTTTAAAATTTGCATTAAAAATTCTCCAACAGTCTTACCACGACTAAATTGGAAAACGATTAAAAGCTGCCTGATTTTATATGCGGAATTTTAAATCTATCAAACATGTTTAATTTAATGTCTGTGGGTTTAGCCATTAAACTACCTGTTAGTTACCATATTTCTGATTAATATTTTTCTTAAAAATTAGAAATTAAAAATTAAATTATGCAACCAAATATACACTTTACCATTAAATTTGTCGTTTTCCTGGAAAAAACGGTTGAGAGTCCAACAAGATTTCAAGACAGTCAGGGGCCTCGAGAAGGTTTTAAAAAAGACATTTGGAGCCCCCTAGGAGGTTTCCCGTTCTTAAAAAAAAACAGTTGGAGACCACAAGAAGGTTTCATCTTCTTAAAAAAAGACTGTTGGGACCCCGAGAAGGTTTCACATTAAAAAAAAGACATTTGGGACCACCGCGAAGGTTTCAACTTCTTTATAAAAAGACAGTTGGGGCCCTTGAGAAGCTTTTACGTTTTTAAAAAACAGTTGAAGCCCCGAGAAGGTTTTACCTTCTCAAAAAAAAAGACAATTGGAGGTTCTATTTTTACAGGTAACAAAAAACGACAAAAAGGGGCGAGAAAAAAGGCGAAAAATACTATAAAAAAGCGACAAAAAGGAGAATTAGCAACAAAAAATAGTAAAAGAAAATAAAAGTCGGCAAAAAAATGTTACAATAAATATAAAAAAAAAGAGGAGAAAAACGACGAAAAACGAAATAAACGAGAGAAAATGGAAAAAAACAACGAAAAAGCAACGCAATAAAATTCTACAAAAAAAAAATAAAAACGATGAAAGCAGGGGACAAAAAAAAGACAAAAAAGCAAAAAAAATTAAGGTTGTAAATATTCTAAAGGATTCAAAGATTCCAGAGATTCCACAAAATTAAAAAAATACGGAAATTCCAAGACTTAAGACTGCAGAGATACTAAGGATTCTGAAGATTTCGAAGACTAAATATTCCAAAAATTCTGAAGCTTTGAAGACTTCGAAGATTCCCGAATATTCTAAAGATTTCAAAGATTCTAGAGATTCTACAAATTGCATAAATTCCGAAGATTTTGAATGTGCTATATGTATATTCTACAGAGATTCTAGAGAGTATAGAGCGTATTTGAGATTCTAGCGATTCGAGAAATTTTAGATTCTAGGATTCTACAGATTCTGAAGTTTTCGACTGTTTCGAAGATTGAAAAATTAAAGATTTCGAAGGTTTCAAAGATTCCAAGAATTTCTAAGATTATAGAAATTCCCAAGATTTCGAAAACTGAAATACCAAAATTCTGAAGAATTTGAAGATTGCCAAGATTCTAAAGATTATAAATATTCCAAAGGTTCCAGAATGTTCCGAACATCCCGGGACTCTTAAAGATTCCACAGATTACAAAAAATCCGGATATTCTGACCCTAAATATTCCAGAGGTTCTAAAGATTTTGAAAACTGGCGATTTTGAAGATTCAAAAAATTCTGAAGATTATAAAGATTCCAAAGGTATCAGTTATGTTATTCCAGAAATTTCAAAAATTCTGGATATCCACAGCCTAGAGATTTCAGACATTTTAAAAAAAAATAAAGATTCCAAATGTTTTCACAAATTTTAGTATTCCCAAAGATTTAGATATTCCGAGACCGGGGAGATTTCAGAGATGCTAAGAAAAAAAAACAACGATAAGAAACTAAAAAACGAGGGAAAAAACGAAAAAAACCCATACAAAAAAGCGACAAAGAGTGCTATTTAAAAAAAAACACGTCGCGAAAAAAGAACGGGCAAATAAGTAACCGAAAGAAAAAAAAAGTAGGCGAAAAAATATTACAAAAAAGCGATAACAAAGCGACGAAAAAAGGAGAAAAAGAACAACCAAACATGAAAAAAATCGATAAAAAGTCGGAAAACAAATGCAAAAAAACATAGAAACGAAGACAAAAACGACGAAAAACTGAAATAGACGAGTGAAAATGAGAAAAAAACAAAAAAGCGTCACAAAAAAATCTACAAAAAACCTATAAAACTACGGCATAAAAAATTAAAAGAGAGGCCAAAAGCGACAAAAAAAATCAAAAAAAGCCCGAAAAAATAACGACAGAAAAGTTGTATTACAAAAAGAGTCAAAAGAAGAGAAAAAAAGGAGGTTATTAGAAAAATGTGATAAGAAAAAGCGGCCAAAAGGCAACGAAAAAAACACAAAAAAAAGATGAAAAAAACCAAAGAAACGAGGGAATAACGCGAAAAAAGGAGTGGAAAAAAAAGAAAAAAAACCGATTGAAAAAGGGGAGACAAAAAGAAGACAAAAAATGCTGCGAAAAAAAACAAAACGACAAAATGAAACGCGACAAAATAAGAGAAGTAAAAAAGAAACGAAAAAAATGCAACAAAAAAAGCAACGACCAAAAATTGCGACAAAAAGGGCAAAAAAACGAAAATAAAGATGATAAAAACTAAAACAGAGACGAAAGAAAAAAAAAGAGACGAAAGAAAAAAAAGGACAAAGAACCAACAAAAAAACGGGATTCAAGAGCGACAATAAATGGTACAAGAAAAAACGAAAAAAATATCAACAAAAAAAATAAAAAAATACGAAAAGAGAGAACAATTTTAAAAAAGCGACAAAAGAACGCATTCCAAAAAAAAACGCGAAAAAAAGAAGCCACAAAAGAAAAAAATTGTGAACAAAAACAAAAAACAGTCACAGAAAAAACGAAAATAAAGTTGACCAAAAACGAAAACAAAAAAGGAGACAGAAAAGCGGAAGAGCAATAAAGCAATTAAAAAAAAGCAACAAAGCAACCGAAAAGAGGCAATAGGAAAAATAAGAGCAAAAAATAAAAAAAAAACTTCAATACATATTACAAAAAAACAATAACAAAAACGAAAAAAAAAGAAAAAAAAGAAGAAAAATTGTTACAAAAAAGCAAAAAGCAACAAAAAAGTGAAATGAAAGGGCAACAACAAATGAAAAAAAGAAGACAAAACAACAAAAAAGGCACCAAAAGAAGTGCTACAAAAAGCGATAATAAAACGATAGAAAGGAGACAAAGTGTCAAAGAACGCGACAAAAAAAACGGGAAATTTAAAAAAAGCGGCAAAATAAGGTTACAAAAGAAAAGTCATATACCTAGATACAAAATATAATTATTTGCCTTGAGAAATTCGTAATAGAAATTTGTACTTAATTTTCATAACAACAAACTGCAGCTAAAAAAAGAATATTGTGCATTTCATCAACAACTTAAGAAAATAAGAAAATGAAACTAGGAGTAACATACGAGTATGTGGATTTATTAGAAAATCATCAAACGTTCTGAAACTCCAATGCTAAAATATCGTTGACGTTCTCGGGGCTTCAACAGTCTTTTTTTAAGAAGGTGAAATGTTCTCCGGAGTCCCAACTGGTTTTTTTTTTTTTAATGTGAACCTTCTCTGGGGGCCTAAATGTATTTTTTTAAAACCTTCTCGGGGGTTCCAACGGTTTTTTTTTAAGAATGTGAAACCTTCTCGGGGACCCCAAATGTCTTTTGTTTTAAAGGTGAAACCTTCTCGAGAGCTCCAACTGTTTTTTTTTTTAATGTCTGTCACTTATGTCGGGAAAAACACTTTGATGGACCTGCGCACTAGAAATCGTTTCGTCATTTGGTGACAGTGGCGCTTCTTGTTCAAATTTTGTTAACCTTCTTTGATTAGTGTATTACTGTTATTAGAGTGTAAGTAGACGACGCTAGTGCCACAAAGTGTCCTCGTTCCGGGCCTTGTTTCAAAGCAGTGGTGATCGTAAGACTGCTTAAGCTAATCCAGTATTATCGATGCGAATACGAACACCTCGAAATAATATTGCCTGACGTACCTATTTAAGCCGCAGCTGGCCAGTACGACAATAACATGTTCTCGATTGTTTTAGTTATACTTTTTGGTGATTATGTTACTATCGATACAACAATAAAAAGTTCAATCTTGATTTTTGTAGTTTGACTTGATGTAAATAACTGTATGGCTTGATGTAACGTTGCTTGACATATTGTTGAGGTGGTAGAACGGTTGCTTCCTTATAAATACCTAGATGTAGATCTAGATTTACAAGGAAACAAAAATGTGCATCGTGTTCCTGTTCTCACTTATAGTTAAGTAGTTATAGATAGTTTCTTATTATTCTTTCCTAAAGGATGAAGCGGTGGAAGGTGCTTTAAGGGACATTGGTTTGCTGTAGCCTCGTACACGAAGACACAACTACACATTTTCCGAAGAAATTTTCTCCTTGTCTCAAAAAATCTATTTTTTTAATACCGACGAGCAATAAGTCTTTCGAACAGTCGATTTTGTTTTCAGAACGTGATTTGCTTGCCCAGTGCTTAAGATAAGTAGTTATTCACACCTTTTTGTTGTATAATGTTAAACTACGTCATTGTGTACTCAGCGTATACACAACACTTCATTAATGAAACTTCCATTTTATATTCGCACCAATATACCTACAGCGCACGATGTGATTGTCCATTTGTGTCTCCAGAACTAATTAACTTGCCATGTACTAATATTTTTGGTAGTTATTATTTACTATTAACACTTCTGATGGGTACTTGTAGTTGTAATACAGTATTTAATATACGAAGATAAGTAGATTTGTTTGTGCACTTAATAACATCCCATAACGTTTTCTGCGCCGACTTGAACCTTGCCAGCTTTGTTATCTCGGTGGCGACGCTTGTAAGGACATTTAAATTGTATAATTAAGCTTGAATGAGTCAAAACAATCAATATGAAAGTGGATAAATGGAGTGAAAAGTGCACGGAATCACAAATTTTTAGGTATGTGACTTTATTTTTATCTATTTTCTATATTATCCACATTCATATTGGTGTTTTTTCGTTATTTCTTCTAACCGCTGTGTTCTTTGTTGTAGGAAGAAACCCCGCAAGGGTTTTTCGACGACCACGGACTCGGATAAATACAATCAACATAGACGGCGGATCTTCTTTATATCTATATACACGTCTATTTACAATAATTATAGGATATTAAACTGATTATTTTTATTTTTGTACTTTTGCTTTTTGTTAAAACGGCTTCTAGGTAAGTGCGTCTTTTCCGTTGTTTTTCAGACGTTTGTGCTCGATATCACAAGACTTGTGGCTTTGTACCGTGTTCAAATGGATCAGTTTGATTAACGGTACGAGCATTTTGTGCAATACCAAAAATCAAGCATGTATTAAAAGTAGTTCCGTAGTCTCTAATTAGTAGCCTAAATGACACTTGTTAGCTTGTTAAGTATTTAAACATTCCAGTACTTAAAGCGATCATTTGCACTGCAGTACGTTGATTACTAAAGTTTGTATTAAAGTAATTATTTTTTGAGGTGTGTGTTTCATTTTTACTAACAAGCATTTTACTAACTTGAGTAGTTTTCGTTAATAGAATAATAAAATCGGAAGAAAATTCTGCCTCTTGATTAGAAATTTGTAGTGAACTTGTGAGTAAGTACATATTTGGTTAAGGTAAGTATGATTTTTACTATTAAGAAGTTAATTATAGTTAAGTCGTAGTTGCTAAATGACGGTATTAATATTTTTAAAATTTCCATTAAAAATTCTCCAACAGTCTTACCACAACTAAATTGGAAAACGATTAAAAGCTGCCTGATTTTATATGCGGAATTTTAAATCTATCAAACATGTTTAATTTTGTGTTAATTTGTTGCAAAAACAACTGGGTTTAGCCCTTAAACAACCTGTTAGTTACCATATTTTTGATTAATATTTTTCTTAAAAATTAGAAATTAAAAATTAAATTATGCAACCAAATATACACTTTACCATTAAATTTGTCGTTCTCCTGGAAAAAACGGTTGAGAGTCCAACAAGATTTCAAGACAGTCAGGGGCCTCGAGAAGGTTTTAAAAAAGACATTTGGAGCCCCCTAGAAGGTTTCCCGTTCTTAAAAAAAACAGTTGGAGACCACAAGAAGGTTTCATCTTCTTAAAAAAAGACTGTTAGGACCCCGAGAAGGTTTCACATTAAAAAAAAGACATTTGGGACCACCGCGAAGGTTTCAACTTCTTTATAAAAAGACAGTTGGGGCCCTTGAGAAGCTTTTACGTTTTTAAAAAACAGTTGAAGCCCCGAGAAGGTTTTACCTTCTCAAAAAAAAAGACAATTGGAGGTTCTATTTTTACAGGTAACAAAAAACGACAAAAAGGGGCGAGAAAAAAGGCGAAAAATACTATAAAAAAGCGACAAAAAGGAGAATTAGCAACAAAAAAAGTAAAAGAAAATAAAAGTCGGCAAAAAAATGTTACAAGAAATATAAAAAAAAGAGGAGAAAAACGAAATAAACGAGAGAAAATGGAAAAAAACAACGAAAAGGCAACGCAATAAAATTCTACAAAAAAAAAACGATGAAAGCAGGGGACAAAAAAAAGACAAAAAAGCAAAAAAAATTAGGGTTGTAAATATTCTAAAGGATTCAAAGATTCCAGAGATTCCACAAAATTAAAAAAATACGGAAATTCCAAGACTTAAGACTGCAGAGATACTAAGGATTCTGAAGATTTCGAAGACTAAATATTCCAAAAATTCTGAAGCTTTGAAGACTTCGAAGATTCCCGAATATTCTAAAGATTTCAAAGATTCTAGAGATTCTACAAATTGCATAAATTCCGAAGATTTTGAATGTGCTATATATTCTACAGATTCCAGAGATTCTAGAGAGTATAGAGCGTATTTGAGATTCTAGCGATTCGACAAATTTTAGATTCTAGGATTGTACAGATTCTGAAGTTTTCGACTGTTTCGAAGATTGAAAAATTAAAGATTTCGAAAGTTTCAAATATTCCAAGAATTTCCAAGATTATAGAAATCCCCAAGATTTCGAAAACTGAAATACCAAAATTCTGAAGAATTTGAAGATTGCCAAGATTCTAAAGATTATAAATATTCCAAAGGTTCCAGAATGTTCCGAACATCCCGGGACTCTAGAAATTCTACAGATTACAAAAATTTAAAAAAAATCCGGATATTCTGACTCTAAATATTCCAGAGCTTCTAAAGATTTTGAAAACTGGAGATTCCAGAGATTTTAAAGAATCTGAATATTTCAAAAAATTTTGAAGATTATAAATATTCCAAAGGTTCATTTCAGACATTTTAAAACTTCTGAAGATTTTGAAGACTTCGAAGATTTTGAAGAAGTATATTCGAAATGTTTTAGAAATTCTGCTAATCCCAAAGATTCTAAATATTCCGGGACCCGAGAGATTTTGAAGATTCTAAAGAATCTGAAAATTTTGAATAATTCCAAGGCTGAAGATCACAAAAATTCTGAAGACTTTCAAGATTCTCTGAATTATAAATATTCCAAAGGTTTCAAAGATTCCAGCGATTTTAAAAATTCTGAAGATTTCGAAGACTAAATATTACGAAAATTCAGAAGACTTCGAAGGGTCGAAAATTTTGAAAAAATAAAGATTTCAGAAATTTTAGTATTCCTAAAGATTTAGATGTTCCGAGACCGCAGAGATTTCAGAGATGCTAAGAAAAAAACAACGATAACAAACAAAAAAATGAGGGGAAAAACGCTAAAAAAGGAGGCGAACAAAAGAGAAGCAAAAAAAGGAAAAAAAGGTGACAAAAGGAAAAAAAGGCAAAAAAACACGACAAAATCTCACACAAGAAAGCGACAAAGAATACTAATTAAAAAAAACATTAGTCGCGAAAAAAGAGCGGGCAAATAAGTAACCGAAAGAAAAAAAATTAGCGATAACAAAGCGACAAAAAAAGGAGAAAAAATGCAAAAAAACATAGTAAAAAGACAAAAACAACGAATGAACGAAATGAAATAGACGAGTGTAAAGGAGGAAAAACAAAGAAAAAAAACGACACAAAAAAAGCGACACCAAAAAAATCTACAAAAAACCTATAAAACCACGGGATAAAAACAAAAAAAAGAGAACAAAAACGACAAAAAAAACAAAAAAGCTCATAAAAATAACGACAGAAAAGTCGTGTTACGGCCAAAAAGCAACGAAAAAAACATAACAAAAAGATTAAAAAAACAAGGAAACGAGGGAATAAACGCGAAAAAAGGAGTAAAAAAAAGAAAAAAAGCCGATAGAAAAAAAGGAGACAAAAAGAAGACAAAAGATGCTACTAAAAAAAAAACAAACACAGCGACAAAATGAAACGCGAAAAAATCAGACAAGTAAAAAAGAAACGACAAAAATGCGACAAAGTATACGACAAAAAGGACAAAAAATTTAAAATAAAGGTGACAAAAACGAAAAAAGAGACGAAAGAAAAAAAAGGACAAAAACCAACAAAAAAAAACAGGCGAAACAAGAACGACAAAAAATGGTACGAGAAAAAATGAAAAAGATTCGAAAGGAGAGAACAAAAAATAAGCGACAAAAGAATGCATCCCAAAAAAACACGAAAAAAGGAAGCCACAAAAGAAACGAAAAAAAATTGCCATAACAGAAACAAAAAAGGACACAGAAAAAGCGAAAATAAAGCTGACAAAAAATGAAAAAAGGGGCGATAGAAAAGTAAAATGAAGCAATAAACAATTAAAAAAAAAAGCGACTAAGCAACCGAAAAAAGGCGATAGGAAAAATAAGAGGGCAAAAAATAAAAAAAAACAAAAAATATTACCAAAAAAAAATAACAAAACGACAAAAAGAACAAAAATTGTTACAAGAAATGCAAAAACAGCGACAAAAAAGTGAAATGAAAGGGCGACAGCAAACGAAAAAAGAAGGCAAAATAACAAAAAAGGCACGAAAATAATTAGTCGAAAACTTCACAATCTCAATACGCTCTATACTCTCTAGAATCTTTAGAATCTTTGAAATCTTAGAATATTCAGGAATCTTCGATGTCTTCAGAGTTTTCAGAAATGTTGAAATATTTAGTCGTCGAAATCTTCAGAATCTTTAGTAAGTATCTCTGGAATCTTTGAATCCTTTAGAATATTTATAATCCTGGGAATCTTCAAAGCCTTCAGAAATGTTGTGATCTTCAGTCGTCGAAATATTGAAAATATTCATATTCTTCAGCATCTCTGAAATCTCCCTGGTCTCGGAATATCTAAATCTTTGGGACAACTAGAATTTCTGAAATCTATGGAATCTTTATTTCTTCAAAATCTTCGACTCTTCAGTCTGTTGGTTATCGTTGTTTTGTAGCATTTTTTTCGTCTCATTTTTTATATATATATATATTTTGATTAGTCGTCGTCTTTTTTTTTAGCTTTTTCATCTAGTAATTTTTGGTGCCTTTTTGTCTTTTTTGTCCCCTGGTTTCATAGGTTTTTTTTGTGGAATTTTATTGCGTCGCCTTTTCGTTGTTTTTTTTTTCCTCCATTTTCTCCCGTTTATTTCGTTTTTTCGTCTTTTTTTCTATATTTTTTTGCCGACTTTTATCGTTTTTTACTTTTTTTGTTGCTTTTTCTCCTTTTTGTCGCTTTGTCTTTTTTATAGTATTTTTCGCCTTTTTTCTCGCCCCTTTTTGTCGTTTTTTGTAAAATAGAACCCCCCAACTGTCTTTTTTTTTAAGAATGTGAAACTTTCTCGTGGGCCTTAACTGTTTTTTTGAAGAATGTGAAACCTTAAACTTTTGTAACAAACTACTCTTATAAATCAAACTGGTTAATGTAAAGTGCAACAAACAAATTTTCAGGTAAGTAAAACATACACAAATATGCATACATATGCTCAAACCGACAAAATATAAAATAAGAACAAAAAAAAACATTATTTAAATGAAGGTCAATCCCGTAACAAAGAATGAAAATAGAGTTGAAAATCGCCCGTCAATCTCCCGAGCCGAGCCCGCCGTTCCTTGTAAAATCGATTCCCGATGGCAGATCCCGTCCGCCCGCCCCCGACACTTGCCCGTCCGCCCGCCAGATGTAGCGACGTCGGCGTCGCGGTGATGGGCGGGCCGAGAGGAGCGGCGCGGCGCCCCGACGCACCGGCTCCCAGCGGCAGCGGCAGTCGACGCGTCCAGACGTTTCGCGGATGCGCACTCGTATTTCCTAGTGATGGTCAGCTGTAGTCAGGAACCGTCGAGAAATGCGCCTTAGGCATGTAACTCTGGCTCGCAGAGATACCCTACGGCCGCAAAATGTTCGCGTACGGTTTCGAGATTACATAGACCTGTAATATGCCTGTGCCTAGTGCGAGTTCACGGTGAAAATCTGGCGTGAACGGTGGCTCGGAGACATGGCGTCGGTGGCGGGCTCGACCGAACAGCCGCCTGCCGCGCACGGGCACAGCTTCTGCAAGAAGACCTTCCACAAGCCCACGTACTGCCACCACTGCAGCGACATGCTCTGGGGCCTCATCCAGCAGGGCTTCATCTGCGAAGGTGAGCCACCCCCGATATAGGTCACGCCGCCACACACCCTGCCACGGGGACGGCCCCCAACCGCCGCCTCCACGCGCCTTCTCGCCGACTCGGACCCACAGACGACTGTGTTTACCCGAGCGCGAGGCGGAATCTTAAGCAAACGCGCCGCCTCCACCGGGCCCCAGCTCCACGAGCGCTCCTCCAGCTCGTGAAAGCCGAAAGTCGATAATTAAGTTGGCGGATTTGGGGGGCTTGGTGCCACATTGGTCCTTCGATCCGGATGTGGCGTCCGGAGATTGCGGTTTTTCCGGCGGCATGTCCGCTGTTGGGAGTCGGTTGTTATTGGGGTTCCTCCTTGGGATGTTCTTCTGGTAAATTGTGTCTGATACGTGGATCGTTTGCGACGCCGACGCCTCCCGGTGCGCTCGTCGTTGCGCATCGATCTTTCGCCAGCGAATAATCGCGAGAGGGTCCGATTATGTAGCGACGCATGTGTAGCGCCGTGACGTCAGTCCGTCACCTTTCGTCATGTATATAGCGAGTGGCGGCCAGTGGCGGCTCGTGGTCAGGGCTGCTGTGGAAATAGGTCGGGAGGGTTTGGCCCGACACGGCCACATGTTATTATTATTAATAATATTATTATTATTGTTATTGTTGTCGTCGTCAAGAACAACGTGTAAACTAAAAAGTACCATTCTTCTAAATAAATTACATTCTAAAACTAAAGAAAACAAGAAGCAAGAAAAGAAGCACAACTGGGACAACAAGAATACGCTGTCAATATTTTTTTTACTACAAGCGGTATCTAAATATGAAGATCATAAAAAGTACACACACAAGGTGTTGACCTTTTTGTTGTTCTATACTGTAATCCCCAAATCAGGTCAATTGAATCAGAGAATGTGTCATTTGTTGCTTCACTGAACACTGAATGAAAAGTCATTAGCATGTCGGTGATTAAAGCACATGATAAATGTCAAAATTGTCAAAAAATGACAGATAAAAATTCTTCATAAAAATGCAACCATGTTATTTTTTTTTATAAAATACTCTTTAAGTATGTTTTCAGATTTAGATTCTTGATGGAAACTCATAGTTTGAAAACGGAGGATTGTAATTCAGCACATTTTTTTTATCGTTTATGTATATATACAGGGCGTCTCGAAAATGGCGAGTTAACTCTCCGGACTTCGGTCTTGAGTGCTGCGGTGTTTCGGTGCCCATGATGTGTTATTTTGGAAGCCCATGGAGATCTTTTTTGTAAACTATTTAAAACAAATTTTGAAGGACTTTGGTATTCTATTTTCGGAAAATTCTGACCTGACCTGTTTTTGAGATAATTTTGGGACCACGTTTTTCCTTAGAGGGTACGTCATTTGCCAAAATCAGTTTTATCTTAGCAGGTACTAGCCCCGCCCACCCGCCCTCTCTTTTCTTATAGGATATGTCGTTTGCCAAATCAGTCTTATATTATCAAATACTATCCCCACCCACCCACTCTCAGTTTTATCTTAGGTATTACCAAGTACTTGCTAAGATAAACTGATTTTGGCAAATGACATACCCTCTAAGAAAAGGGAGGGCGGGTGGGCGGCTCTAATATTTGATAATTTAACACTGATTTTGGCAAATCACATACTCTGTAAGAAAATGAAGGGTGGGTGGGCGGTTCTAGTATTTGATAAGATAAGACTAATTTTGGCAAATCACATATGTTCCAAGAAAATGGAGGGTGGGTGGGCGGGTCTAGTATTTGATAAGATAAGACTGACTTTGGCACTTTTGACATTTCGACAATGTTTCAACTATGTCCGAAAATTAGCCACCCTCTCTTTTCTTAGATTGTATGTCATTTGCCAAAATAAACCTTATCTTAGCAGGTACTAGCCCCACCCACTTACCCACCCTCTCTTTTCTTAGGGGGTATGTCATTTGCCAAAATCAGTTTTATCTTAGCAGAATTTTTAAACAACTTTTCCCATAATGAAATTTTGCACTATGCAAATTTCCACCCATTTTCGACGATATTCGAAATTTAATCAAACACATTTTCTTGCAGAAGTCATTTCCCGGCTCATTTCTTCGATAACTCCAACCGATTTTCCAGAATCGTCCACTGAAATTTTGTAATTTGTAAAAATTTCAAAAAATTCCAATTTCACTCCGAATTTTTCGAAAATATTGCTTCGTGGCCCTAAATACGTTATATTTTTGGAATCAGCACGTCAAGCCAATTTTTAGGGGACTTTTTTAAAAATAAAATTTTCCAGTACGGATATACAAATAAAAGAAAAAATATATCTAAAGTGTAGAACTAAATTAATAACACAACCCCTGAGAAAAATACAATCTACTAGAGGGTACATTAACTTCGTGGAAATATTGACAAATATTTCGGATGCGGATTTATAAACCACGAGTACAGGAGTATATTATTTCAAAAATTTTAGGTAACTTTAACTACGCAAAATAATGAGGGAACGTCATCGAATTGTTGGTGGGAATAATTAGACGAATTTGAATTAGTGTTTTAAATAATAAATAAATAATAAATAAATAATAATTTTATTGTCCAACAGGTTACCCTAATGACAGGACAAATCTAAATAATTACTTACATGAATAACCAACACAAAAATTATATATAATTTTACTATGAACACGATATTCCTAACATACATATAAAATTTGACTACAATCGGTCAGGTAATTTCGGAGATTTTCTATCAAACAGTCGTCTCGTTATGGGAATACCATTTTGATATACATATGGCTCATCCAAGTCAATAAGTATTAGATTATATATATCAACGAATTCTACAATAGAATATTAGACACATAATCTCCGAAATTTCTTAAGAGGATGTGTTATTTACTAAAATCAGTTTTATCTTAGCAACTTCTAACCCCGCCCACCCGCTCTCACTTTTCTTAGAAGATATCTCATTTGCCAAAATCAGTTTTATCTTAGAAGGTACTAGCCCCTCCCAACCGCCCCCTCTTTTCTTAGAGGGTATGTAATTTGCCAAAATCAGTCTTATATGATCAAATATTAGCCCCACCCACCACCCTCAGATTGATCTTAGGTATTACCTAATACCTGCTAAGGTAAAACTGACTTTGGCAAATGACATACCCTCTAAGAAAAGGGAGGGTGGGTGGGCGGCTCTAGTATTTGATAATATAAGAGTGATTTTGGCAAATCACATACTCTCTCAGAAAATGGAGGGTGGGAGGGCGGGTCTAGTATTTGATAAGATAAGACTGACTTTGGCACTTTTGACATTTCGACAATTTTTCAACTACTTCCGAAAATTAGCCACCCTCTCTCTATCTTAACAAGTTCTAGCCCCACCCACCCGCCCTCTCTTTTCTTCGAGGGTATCTCATTTGCCAAAATCAGTCTTATCTTAGCAGATACTAGCCCCACCCACCCACCCTCTCTTTTCTTAAAGGATATCTCATCTGCCAAAATCAGTTTTATCTTAGAAGGTACTAACCCCGCCCACCCGCCCTCTCTTTTCTTAGAGGCTATCTCGTTTGCCAAAATCAGTTTTATATTATCAAATACTAGCCCCACCCACCCACCCTCAGTTTTATCGTAGGTACAACCTAGTACCTCCTAAGGCAAAATTGAGTTTGGCAAATGACATACCCTCTAAGAAAAGGGAGAGTGGGTGGGGCTAGTTTTTGATTAGATAAAACTGATTTTGGCAAATCACATACTCTCTAAGAAAATGGAGGGTGGGTGGGCGGGGTTAGTAATTTGATAAGCTAAGACTGATTTTGGCAAATGACATATCTTCCAAGAAAATAGAGGGCGGGTGGGTGGGGCTAGTATTTGATAAGATAAGATTGACGTTGGCACTTTTGACATTTCGACAATTTTTCAACTATGTCCGAAAATTAGTTTTATCTTAGCAGGTACTAGCCCCACCCACCCACCCTCTGTTGTCTTAGAGGGTATGCCATTTGCCAAAATCACTTTTATCTTAGCAGAATTTTTAGACGACTTTTTCCAAAATGAAATTTTGCACTATGCAAATTTCGACCCATTTTCGACGATTATTAGAAATTTAACCAAACACATTTTCTTGTAGATTTCGGGCCGCAGATGTCACTTGCCGGCTCATTTCTTCGATAACTCCAACCGATTTTCCAGAAGCCCCCATTGAAATTTCGTAATTTTTTAAAATTTCAAAAAATCGCAATCTCACTCCGAATATTTCGAAAACATTGCTCCGTGACCCTAAGTTGTATTTTTGGAATCAGCACGTCAAGCCAATTTTTAGGGGACTTTTTCAAAAATAAAATTTTCCAATACGTCTATGCAGATAAAAGAAAAAATATATCTAAAATGTAAAACTAAATTAATAAAACAACCCATGAGAAAAATACAAACTACTAGCGGGTACTTGAAGCTCGTGGAAATATTGACAAAAAATTTCGAATGCGGATTCATAAACCACGAGTACAGGAGAACATTATTTCAAAAATTTTAGGTAACTTTAACTACGCAAAATAATGAGGGAACGTCATCAAATTGCTGGTGGGGATGATTAGACGAATTTGAGTTAGTGTTTTACCATGTACACGATATTCCTAAAATACATATAAAATTTGACAACAATCGGTCAGGTAGTTTCGGAAATTTTCTGTCAAACAGCCGTCTTGTTATGGGAATATCATTTTGACATATGGCTCATCCAAGTCGATACTTATTACATTATATGTATCAACGGATTCTACAATTGAATATTAAACACGTAATCTCCGAAATTTCTTAGAGGATGTCATTTACTAAAATCAGTCTTATTTTAGCAGCTACTAACCCCGCCCACCCACCCTCTCTTTCTTACAGGGTACATCATTTGCCAAAATCAATCTTATATTATCAAATATTAGCCCCACCCACCCACCCTCAATTTTATCTTAGGTACGACCTAGTACCCTCTAAGAAAAAGGAAGATGGGTGTTCGGAGCAAGTATTTGATAATATAAGACTGATTTTGGCAAAT